CTTAAGTCTAATAAAACTTGAAAGTCAAAAGGAAAAGCTTAAGAAAGTGAGGAAACCTAAACCTTAATGTTTCAAATAATTTAATATTAAGACAAAAAGATAAGATAAAAAATGTGAGAACACACCAGGGGGTTTTAGGTGTGTTTGCCCGAAAGGCTACCATGGAGATGGTAAACTTTTACCAAAGGCTTTGTCAAAAGACCTCTCCGTACACAGTGAATTTGTATAAATAGAATGAAGGTCCCTTCTCATTTCACCTGCCAAATGAACTATAAAGCAATGTACCTTTCCCTCAATATTGTTGTGTTTCGTCATGTCGATTTGCAGAGTCAAGTAATGATTTGTTGATGCACTGCGGAGTGCTGATTGATTGACAAGAAACTAAGATAAATTTCAAAATCTACTTTTTTAATATAATTATTTTAATTTGATAAAAAGAATGTTTTTTTTGTAATTTATAGAAGAGAAAATGCAAACAATAAATTTTAATCACATACAGTAATATTTAGTGTATATTATTCAAAATCAGCTAGCTAGCAGATAAAACATAAACAAATCAATCAAAGAAATTGAAGTATATTAAATTTTACGGCAATGCAACGTAATTTTCGACAATGAAACCATTGCCCGCTAAACACTTCAAGAGGAGACTTTTCTAGTCAACATAAGATGTTAGTGGCTTGCAAAGTTACATAAGAATCCGTTATATATAGTTCGTGGGTTGGAGTCGGTTAGACTACAATAAAACCATGGGATTGCATTTGCATTTGCTGCAAGCCCAATTACTTGTGTCAATTCTGCTTATTTTTGTTTCAAGATCAGTTTCTACTCAATCAAATTTCCAAATAGCAAAGCCCAACTGTACGGATCAGGATCATTGTGGAAATGTAAGTATTCCCTTCCCTTTCGGCACGAGGGAAGGCTGTTACTTAGACGAAACATTCTTAGTCACTTGTAATGACACCCACTATGATCCTCCCAAACCATTCTTCAGAAAGTCAAACATAAGTATCACAAACATATCCCTAGAGGGCCAAATGCGTGTCATGCAATTCATAGCAAAAGACTGTTATTCTCAGAATGGCACTAGAGTGTCAAATAATGAACCCTGGATAAGAGTGACCCGTGGATTCGTGGTCAGTAATACTGCCAATAAGTTCTTTGTCATTGGCTGTGATACTTACGCTTCTGTATCTGGGCGGCGGGGGAACCGGAGTTACTCGACAGGGTGCACTTCCACGTGTGACAACAGGGATGATCTGGTCGACGGCTCATGTTTTGGATTAGGCTGTTGCCAGATGTCTATCCCGAAACAGGCATGGAAAGTTAAGGTGACATTGTATAGCTTTCATAATTTGACAACTGTGTGGGACTTCAATAACTGCAGCTATGGTTTTCTAGCTGAAGAAAGGGCATTCAATTTCTCCGCAAGAAATCTTTCCAACCTGAGGAATGTGAAAAAGCTTCCAATGGTGGTTGACTGGGCAGTTGGAGAACGAACTTGTGAGGAAGCTCGAAATGATATTTCTAGTTATGCATGTAAAAGTGAGAAGTCTGAGTGTTTTGAACCCGATAATGGTTATGGGTATCGTTGTCGTTGCCAGGAAGGTTATGAAGGAAATCCATACCTCGATAATGGCTGTAAAGGTATGGCTATATTATCTTAAAAGTTCATAAATGATCTAGCACCATATTGTTCACTATATAATAAACAAGATTTTAACTTCATTTTTCCTTCTTATTATTCTTATATTTGTTATGCAGACATTGATGAATGTAAGAATCAAAGTCTCCATAACTGTGAAAAGCAATGTAAGAACACACCAGGGGGGTATAAGTGTGTTTGCCCGAAAGGCTACCATGGAGATGGTAAAAAAGATGGACAAGGTTGCATGCGTGGTCAATCACTTGTCTTCAAAGTTGCTACAGGTTATTAGCCCCACTATTCCATGGGTGTAGATAAGTAATTCTAATTTTCTTACCCAACCAAATATTACTCTGTTTAGGTGTTATATATATTTTATCTCAACGCTAAACCTCCAACAGAATTCTGGCTAGTCGTTGGGCTGACCTTTAATTTCCTCGTTATCAGATGTTACTGAAGGAGTAATTGCTTTTAATATTATAGTTCCTTTTATACTATTGATATTTAGGGGGTGTATTCAATTGAGACTTTTAATGACTTTTTGGGATTTAAAAAATTTAGGGATATTCAATGTAGACTTTTGGAGACTCTCTAAAAGTATTGGTGTATTCAATTGAGACTTTTATAAACTTTTTAAAAAATCTCTAAAAGTCACGGTGTATTCAATTAAAACTTTTTAGAAATCTTTATAAGTTTTAGGGTATTCAAATTTTTATAACTTTTAGACACTTTTATAAAAGTTTCCATGGTATAACTTTTAAGCAGAAAATACTCAAGTAAAATCTCAAAATTTTTCTATCAT